GCCAGAGTATTAAACCTACTAAATCTTGCTCTTACAGAAACCTGAGGTTGGGACAAAAAATTTGGAAAATGACGCAAGTATCTCCAAATAATAAAAATTTTGTGTCTTCTCCTCTTTCGCCACTCTTTTTTGAGCCTTCTCTACTTAGTCTTTGTATTCAGCATCACCTTAGGACCAAGATATATATATCTTCTTGTTCTGGAACCTCCTACTAAATTGAAACCAGCAGATGGCTTTAATGTCTTACACATGGGTATTGATCTTCAAAAAGTACCTAAATACACACCTTCCTCTCATTTAAGAAAGCATGAGCACTCTAAAAAGGTAAGGGGAGAAACATCTGGATGTGTATACCTGTGTGTAAACACAGAATACAGTTTCTTAACTAGAGTAATATTCCTGCTGATGCTTTCTTTTTGTATTTTGTGTGTGGTGTTACTTTACAATGCTTTAATGGGTACTGTTTTTGTAGTGTGTGAAGTAGCTGTAACTTAGCAATTAGTTTGAAGAAGATATAGACCAGTGATGGCGAACCTTTTGAGTTCGGTGTGTCAGCATTTTGAAAAACCCTAACTTAACTTTGGTGCCATGTCACATATAGAATTTTTTTGATATTTGCAACCATAGTAAAACAAAGACTTATATTTTTGTTATTTATTTTATATATTTAAATGCCATTTAACAAAGAAAAATCAACCAAAAAAATGAGTTCGTGTGTCACCTCTGACACGCGTGTCATAGGTTCGCCATCACTGATATAGACTATACTTGACAACTGTCAATCTTCAGCAAACAATCTTTTTGCCTTTGTTTTAATGGGACCTCTGATGCTGCCCCTCCTCCCCCGTTTTGTTTTATGTGGCAATTAACAATTAAAAATTAACTTCTGTTACTGAATTTGGTCCAAGATGACTTTAGTAACCTTATATGTGGATGCATTTAAATAAGATTGATTTAAATAATCAGTTTTGTCTGTTTTTTTAGGACTTTAGTATTTAAATATTATAGATGTCTTCTTAAGACTATAGAATCCCTTTGCTCTTGAAAATGCAAAGTATACCATCAGTTTTATATAGACTTTCCAGGAGCAGGAGTGGAACATTCTTAGAGCAAAAGTTTGGTTTTAGAATCTGTCTGATAAGTAAGGGCAGTCCATTCTCTAAAAAGTTATCAGCTTTCCCAAATTTGAACATTTGTGATAGCTGTATTTGGAAAGGAAGTCAGATTTTTTAATCTTATGGATTTAATGGCGCTAAATTAACAAACATTTTAAAAATGGATTTTGTAGAATCCAACGATTAGGAGAAACTTTGCAAAGCCATATATAGGAATAGTCAAACGCCACGTGTTAGTTTCATAATGTGCATTTCCCAAGTGAATAGAATTTATTTCACCAAAAAGATTTTTTGCACAATTCACAATACTTACAGAAATATAATTTTATCATTGGCGGGAAAAACAGCTCACCTTCCCAATGATACATTTCATATTTACTAGTACACTAGTACAATTCCTTAATTATTTTGGGGGATACCAAAGAATAATCTGTCTATAGGATACAATTGCTTATTCTTAATCTAGGAATTAATACATATATTAAAGTTTATTGAACTTTGAAGAACTTCTCAATAAATTAGTATTTTTAATAAAATTGTACTCTTTGCAAGTGGATTTGTCTCAGCACAAAGGCAGAGTTAAAAACATAAAATTATGAAAAAATACCAAAAAGAAAGATTAGTTATTATTACCTTAAAAATCGTATTAATTTCCATCAGTATTAAATCCAACACCATTTATCTGTAGTATATAACTAAAATTTTGAAAGTTTTGCACACAAATCAAGAGACTTCTTTTAAAATTCCTTGTCTGGCCTGTGTTGCTCAGTGGTTGAGCATCAACCCATGAACTAGGAGATCACAGTTCCATTCCCAGTCAGGGCACAGGCCCAGATTTCCTACTCGATCCCCAGTAGGGGGCGTGCAGGAGGCAACTGATCAATGATTCTCTCTCATCATTGATGTTTCCATCCCACTCTCCCTCTTCCTTTTTCTCTCTGAAATCAATTTAAAAAAACATTAAAAAATGCCTTTGTGTAAAAATAGGTTCTATGACCTCTTGCTAATTATTACTAGTATTAGAGACCCAGTGCATGCAACTTGTGCATGGGAGGAGGTCCCTCAGCCCGGCCTGCACCCTCTCGAAATCCCGGACCCCTTGGGGGATGTTGGCAGTCGGACATCCCTCTCGCAATCTAGGACCGCTGGCTCCTAACCACTCTGCCTGCCTGCCTGATCACCCCTAACTGCTCGCCTGCCTGCCTGATTGCCCCTAACCACTCTGCTTGCCTGATTGCCCCTAACTGCTCACCTGCCTGCCTGATCACCCTTAACCACCTCTGCCTCAGCCCCCACCACTGTGGCTTTGTCCGGCAGAACGTCCGGAATGATGTCTGGAAGGTCGTTTGGCTGTCTGGTCTAATTAGCATATTATGCTTTTATTATTATAGATATTTCTTTAGAGGTACTGTGAGGCGCTTTCAAAGACATTTGTAGCAATTAGGTCTAAATATAGAGCAGAATATTCTGTCAGATATTTTACTATATCACAAAAAGTTGTAATACTGTATTTTATAAGAAAACCAAATCCTCAAATATTCTGGTATGTTACATATTATTATACTAAAAAAAACTCACTTTCTATAAGTCTATTATTGTGCATATAATTTTTTTAATATATATTTTATTGATTTTTTACAGCGAGGAAGGGAGAGGGATAGAGAGTTAGAAACATCGATGGGAGAGAAACATCGATCAGCTGCCTCCTGCACACTCCTCACTGGGGATGTGCCCGCAACCAAGGTACATGCCCTTGACCGGAATCGAACCCGGGACCCTTCAGTTCGCAGGCCGATGCTCTATCCACTGAGCCAAACCGGTCAGGGCAATATAATATTTTTTAAAATGATGGTATTTCAGTCCTAGCAAGAAAATATAATGCAATATGTGTGTGACATTAAATTGATCTTTAGTTTAAATCCATTTGTGTATTTGACAGGGAAACTAGCAATCATAAGCTCAAACATATACATTTTTCTCAAGGATAAAAAGGCAAATGATAATACATAAAGACATGGTCACTGGGGCAAGTTAGCTGGTGTGCAGACTGACAAGAATCAACTTGCAAATGCTCATCAGATTTTAGCTTTTGTTATCAGTTGATCCTAGAGGGGGAAGTGCTGCAGTCAGTTGGTGTTGCCTCCCCTTCATGTCACTGCATGGTGTAATGAAATCTCTTTAGAAGCAGGATTGAGTCAGAACCTTTGAGATGCACCTTACTGTTTTTTAAAACTGCTGTTATAATATTCTAAATACTGTGATCTTTCCAAATGTGTTTTCTTTATTTATTTTGTACTGTAGAAAATAATTTGCTGTAAACTGGACTTTGTTTAAAGTGATGTTGTTTATTGGCTTATTACCACTCCCATTTATGTACAGTCTACTTAATAAAATCTGTGATAATGCTTTTCCTTAAAATAAACTCTTAATGCTAAATGTTAATTGTACTCTAATAATTCTAAGCTACAAATGAATGTTTCCTTTAAAGTTTAAGACAGCATCAAATAAAATATTATAAAAATACTCTGTGGAGTGTTGCTGCCTATTCTGTATTTGTGACCGTGTGTGTATCTTGATCCAGGACATGGTGGCTGGCTGGGTTCTATAAATAGACATTAGTAATCCTTTTAGAGAATGGGCCTGTTACCTCTCAGCTGTTGGCAGAATCCTCCCGTTAACCCTTAAAAATAGGTTTTCCCAGGGCATATAAGAATGAAGAAACACAGCTATTCATGTTTTCTCCCCTTACAACTTTTGTCTTGATTCCTACGGAATGTTCACATTCTATTTGTGTTGACATCATTTTCCAAAGGAGAAAAATGCTAAAGATTACTGCAGATTGATGGAATCATGTAATTTCAGCAGGAAAAAGGACATTGCCACTATTAAAGTCTAGTCCCTTGGAACAGGTTAGAACCTGAATTTTAGAGAGATTTGGTGGCCTGCTCAAGTTCTGAGGGAAAAGATGGATTGAGCTCATCCTGATGGCCAGAAGGTTGTCACAAATTCAGTGAGTGGAAAGAAATTGTGTTAGTCTTGGGGCTGGCACACACCAGCAAGGCTAGAAAACCATTTCCTTATTAGGCCTTGGTCTTTGCCCCGAGTTAGTCAGTTATAGAGGAATTAATTTTGTAGGCATTTTTACTGGGAAAGATGGTGTTGGCTCCTAAGGATTATCTCTGGTGCTGTTTCACCACCAGCAGCAAAGCTTCAGACCACAGTATTTGAAAGACCCTCAGGGCATGCTTACTTGGCCCAGTGAAAAGGTAATCCTGGGGTGCATGACAATACACTTGTGCTTTGTGTTGTGTTTTGTTTTAAGGTATTTTATTGATTTCAGAGAGGAAAGGAGAGGGGGAGAGAGAAATCAATGATGAGAGAGAATCATGGATCAACTGCCTCCTACACGCCCCACACTGGAGATCGATCCTGCAACCCCGGCATGTGCCCTGACCGGGAATCAAACCGTGACCTCCTGGTTCATAGGTCCATGCTCTATCCTTGTACTTTGAAAGGTATGTGTGGTCAGGTTATTTTTAAATGACCAGAAACGCAGGCCCTTTGAGGAATTAGGTGTTCCTTAGGCTCAGAAAATAGAAATGGGAGAGGGGCCGGGCCTTATTTCCCCCCCCCCCCCCCCCCCCCCCCCCCGTTGTTGCAGTTTTTCAAAGGGATGTGAAAGGTTCCTAACGCAAACGGCGGCCAAGGGGCTCTAGGACCCAGCGGCCGCGCGCGGGGCCAGCAGGGCCGCGGCGCCTTCAAAGCCCTGGCGCCGGCCGTTGCAGGGCACGGGTTCGCGACCCGCCTTGGGTCGGGCATTGGGGCGCTGAGGCGGCGCACGGCTGCGCGCGTGGGCGTGTCCCAGCGGGTCCGCGGGCGCCGCCTCAGAGCCGCGGAGTAGGTCGCTCCTGGGATCAGCTCCAGCCCTCAGGCGGGCAGCGCGGAGCGTAGAGAGCGGGAGCCGAGGGACCGGCCGTGCCGCGAGCCCTCGGGCCGCCCCCGCCGGGAGCGCCCCTGACACGCAAAGATGAAATTCCCGGGCTCCGTGCTGGCGTCCGTGTTCCTGTTCGTGGCCGAGACGATGGCGGCGCTGTACCTGAGCAGCACTTACCGCTCGGGCGGGGACGGCATGTGGCAGTCCCTGACGCTGCTTTTCTCGCTGCTGCCCTGCGCTCTCGTGCAGCTCACACTCCTCTTCGTGCACCGCGACTTCAGCCGCGACCGGCCGCTCGTGCTGCTGCTGCACCTGCTGCAGCTCGGACCCCTCTTCAGGTGCGTGCGGGACTCCGGGTCCCAGGCCCGGACCCCGGCCGCCTCCCCTTCCCGCGCCGGCCCGGGAGGTGGGAGGCGGCCTACCGGGAGGGACAGGTGGTGGGACTGGGGACAGGGCCCAGGGCGGCCCACCTCCACTCTCAGCCACCGTTGTAGACCCAGGAATGAGACAGACTCCTGGGATAGTGGCAATGAAGCTGGGCGTACTGTGTTCCTGTTAGGTTCTTGCCTATGAAATTACCGACATTCAACGGAATTTGACTGACAAAAATGGCAATTTCATGTGGTTGGACCTCCTAAAAATCCAGGCTTTCTCTGTGGTCAGGTGGGCTCTGGCAGGTTTGGCTTGGGTCCTGACGAACCCTTGGGAAGTGTGTCCTAAATTCCAGTTGGAGCAAAAGCGGGGACAGATTATTTAATTTATTCAACACGTGGAGTTTACTGTGTGACAGGCACTGTTCTGAACGCTTTACAAATACTAATTTATTCAACTCTCATACATAACTCTAGAAAGCCACACATCAGTCTTGTTTCTTGTGTGTGGAAACATACGGGGTTGTAGAACCATCTTCCGCCCCAGCCTGATTTATGAACCTGGTCCTTGAAGCTGGAACACAACGTGCCACGAAGACAAACACTTGTGGTGTGTTAAGGAAAGAAAAACTAGTTTTTATTAACACAAAGCAAGAGAAATACTTGGTAATGAAGTAGACTTTGGCTTATCCAAGGACCTTGAAGAGAGTTTAAAATGTGTTGTTTTGATGTCTTTCATCTCTGTAGGAAAAGCAAAACCAAGGGTTTCTATCTGGATTAGAAATAAATTTATATTACTGAACTTTAGACATAGGTGACAGAGGAATTGGAAGACAGAAAGACCAAAGAGGCACCTCAGCAGCCATAAAATTCAGCTATTCAGCTGGCCATGAACCTAGGGAGGCCCCAACACCACCACTACCCCCACATACACAACACAAAGTTAAGCAGCAAGATAGGTTTTACTAAGTGTTTAATAAAGCATTGCACTTCATATTAAAGACAACCATTCTAGCTGACACTCAGAATGTGGACTTGTAGTTTACACACAGTCAGGACAAAGTGGACGAACAAATTTTCCTGAAGCTGCGGAATTCTAGAAAGGAAGAGAAACAGGTACATTGGCAGAAGTAAGAAGTTGCTACTGACATCTTGAGAGCAAGGGAAGAGTTAGGGGAGAAAGAGGAGGCGGGGGAGAGGGAGAGGGAAACGGAAAAGGAGAAAAAGTGGGTGAGGGAAATTTTAAAACTCCTGCAACCTGGAGCCATTTGATGAGAGAGTTCATTTTCCCTGGCCTAGTATGCCACAGCACCCTGATTGTATTCTTGTTCAGTAAAATCAATGTTATATGACTTTGGGCAAGGCTCTCATCATGTCTCAACCTGATCTGTGAAAAGAAAACTCAGTACTGGCAGATATTTAAGTAAAGTGACAGAGAAAAGGGAACTGACATTTGTCAAATGCTTCTTGTGCTAGATGGTTTGGTAGGTGTTTATATGCCTCAGTTCATCAAATCCTCATCATGAACTAGATGTAATTGTCCCCATTTTATAGATGAGGAAAATGAGACCCTAGACTATGTCCACAAGGCTTCTTAGAAATAGAGTGGAGTGAATTATGTTCTTTACACTCTGAAAGAAGGCAGAGGAGTGTGGAGTGCATTTTATCAGTAGTTCAGTCTTAAATTAAGAAAGTTTGGTCATCTTGGAAAAATTTAAAAACAACCTAAACAGTTATCCAGGTCAATGATAATACCCTATCATTTCTGTCATTTAATATTTTTTTAAATATATTTTATTGAATTTTTACAGAGAGAAAGGGAGAGGGATAGAGAGCTAGAAACATCAATGCAAGAGAAACATCGATCAGCTGCCTCCTGCGCACTCCCTACTGGGAATATGCCCGCAACCAAGGTACATGTCCTTGACTGGAATCGAACCTGGGACCCTTGAGTCCGCAGGCCGACTCTCTACCCACTGAGCTAAACCAGATAGGGCTCATTTAATATTTTTGTAAATACTAAGAGTGACCTAAGATAAAGCTAATTATATAATATTATGTATAAAACAGGATGGCAAAGATAAAAGTGGTAATTTCTGATGGTGGAGTTATGGGTGATTTTAATTTTCTCCTGAAAAATATAGAAAGTGCATCATTTCCTCCTTTAGTATATGCTTCTCTACATTTTTCAGTTTTTACAGTGAAAATATTTAAACTTTATTAAAAAATAAAGTTTGGTGCTTTGAAGAGATTACTAGCCATATAAAAAGTTTCAACCCCATAAAAAGACATATTTCCAGAAAATTCTGAATAAGTCATTGTCTTTTTTTGTGGAACAACAAAATAAAATATAAAAAACAAACATTCCCCTTCTGTCAACAAGAACTCTGTTATTCTAATGCAGCTGATTTATTTCCAGGAGATATCGGACCCATGATCTTAGAGCTGAGATACACAAGATGCAGTTACAAGCCTCTTAGCTTCCAGATGAAAAAAAAGAGCAATTTAATGTTGTGTATTAGCGTGCCTTAATATGTTATGGAAGTTTTTGTTGTTGACTGTTTCTATTTTAACTCTAAGATTTTACATAGGATCAACATTGTCTCCCCCCCCCCCCCGCCCCATACAAAGGAGAGTCATGGTGTGTTTCTTTTCCTGCCTTATCAATTAGACTTAGTAATATTTTGAAATTGCTTTTGGAAAATTTAGCTCTGTTTATTTTGGGGTGCACACTAACTGGCCCAACATATTCTTTTTAGGTGAGATGCTGTGTTTGAATTTACTCAGTTAAACTGAATTATAATGATGATGGGCTAAATACTGCAATCTAGACCCCGCTGTTCTTTCCTTTGGGGAAGCAGTGGAGAGCAGCATATTTCATTTATATCAGTATTATATTTAAAACTAGACTTGAAGTTTGTGTGGTTCTTTCCTAATTAAGGCCAGGTTTCAATAATAAGAACACAGAATAAATAATGTCTTGATTTTTTTTTTATTTTAAGGGCAGTATTATTGTGAATAATAATAGATGTTCTGAAAAACCAGAGGGTGGGTGGAAATACCTCTTAACAGCAACAACAAAATTTGTTTATGCTTTTACAATATGTTGATTTTAGAAATTAATTGGGAGAAGGAATGAATATAAATGAGTTACTAGTTCAAGGAATTTTCCTCTATTTTCATTTACTGGTGAGGAAAAATGGTTCATAAAAATCTATGTTTATAATATAAAAGATAAGAAGTTCCAGTAATATTTTATAGAACATTGCAGAATTATTCACTATAGTATTTTTCTTTATTGTATACCTTCAAAAGACTTTAAAATAATAATGCCCTACATTTAAAGATCACTTTTTGTTTGCAAAGTGCTTTTACATACAATATTTAATTTCATCCATTGTAAAACCCTGTGAGCTGTCATTATCTCTTTTTCACAATTTAGGAATTGAGGCTCAGTGAGATTATGCAAGTGCTTTTTCAGAGGTCACATGCCACTTTTTATTGTTTGGTTCTTAGGTAGCCTATTAAGCATGTGTGTCTTACAAAGATAACATGATAGAAAAAAATCATAGTATATTTTTTGAAATGTGTTTTTATTAACTACCTTCAAGGCTTTCTGTTACCGTTGGTTATTTAGGCTGACACCAACATGCATGGTTTTACTATGGTACTTGAAAATGAGATAAAGTTGGGGGGTAAAGGGGATCTACCTGCTAATTATCTGCATTAGGGGTTGGCAAACTATGCCCCACAGGCCAAATCCCCCCACTGCCTGTTTTGTAAATAAAGTTTTATTGGAACAGCCATGCTCATTCATTTATGTACTGTGTATGACTGCTTTTGCACTACAGTGGCACAATTGACTAGTTGCAATAGAGGCCATGACCTGCAAAGCCTAAAATACTTATTCTTTGTAAATACTTTACAGACAAAGTTTGCCAGTCCTTGGTCTACATCAAGCACATCAAACTCAAAGGCTAACATGGGCCAAACAAACAAGGTTTAAGTTTATGTGGGCTGCAAAAAAACAAAAGCTCCAATTTTCATAGAAACGTAGGTTTATTTTGATAGAGACATGCTGAATACAAAGGGCTGAAATAAATGAGTAATTGTTAACATAAAATAATAGAACATTTTAATAAAAAGTAATATTTTTTCTTGAACATTAACTTACCAGAAACTGAATAACTCCACAAATTAATAAGCGTAATGCAAATAAACCTATTTTTCTTGTTTTTGGAAAGCGAAATATTTCCTGTTGCGCACACCAAACAAGTCAGTACAAGACTAATGACGTGGCAATCGGCTGCTAAAATATTCGCTGCTAGTATTAGTGGAGAGAAATGGTGTGCCTATGCATAAGTGCGTGAGGGAAATGAATGCAACAGGATTATAGTAATCAGTCATTAGTGAACGTTGTAGTTCGTTAATAATTACGTATAACAGGATATTGTGAAAATTAAGTTACGAAATTTTTATTAAAATGTTGATTGCATACCACTATATTTGCTGGGTCGCAAAAATATTCATTGTGGGCTGCATGTGGCCCATACACTGTGAGTTTGACGTGCTTGGTCTACATGATACAGAAAAACTATCTTGAATGATTTTGATGAAAATATTTAATTTATGGCTATATTTAGACAACCTCTCAAGCAGAAAAAAAACAACAACCAAAAACAAATAAAAACAGCAACAACAAAAACCCATGATTGGTGTAATTGGATGTCAGAGAATTTCAATAAGAAATAGAAATTTGTTTATCAGTTTCTTAACCAGTAGTGGCAAGTAGTGGAGGTCTTAGGGCAGTGATGGCGAACCTATGACACACGTGTCAGAGGTGACACGCAAACTCATTTTTTTGGTTGATTTTTCTTTGTTAAATGGCATTTAAATATATAAAATAAATATCAAAAATATAAATCTTTGTTTTACTATGGTTGCAAATATCAAAAAATTTCTATATG